TAAAATGAAATACCAAATGTGAACTAATTACTTAATTCTGCATTTAAGAATTGTGACCATTTCTAGCAATTTATTTCAGGTGAGCAAGCAAGAGCTATGATGGCTTTCTTGTTTGCTCATCTGATCACAAAGTGCTCTTTTGGGCCGTGGTGCGTTGTTAATGCCGTCAAACTTTTTCATATTTTCTTAACACAACATCTCCTTTACAAATAAGCCAATATTGTTTAAACTGAGCAGGAATGTTCTTGGCATGAAGCTCTTTAAATTTTGTTTAAAAAGTTTAATTCCATGCTAAATTCTGGTTGTCATGGAAACCGAAAGAATTTTTTTTTAAAAGATTTTATATCTGCTTTTGTCTATAGTTTACACTATTACTTGTTCCTTGTCATGGAGAGTATTAATATTCAGGTGGGAGATATTCGGGCCATCATGGCTATCAAAACTTTATTCATTTTTGAACTGGTACAGAATGGAATTAAATTAAATAATAGTTTCCATTTAAACTGCTTAAGAATGATGAATCCTATTTTCATGTTTTATAAATCTATGCAGGATTATTCTCCCTTGCCCTATACAAATTTTGGTAGAAACTCAGCATTTGTTCATGGAGCAACAGAATTAATTAACATTATAGCTTTCATTTTGAGACAACAATTTTTACATTAGAATAAAAGCTTCTTAGAAAGATGAGGAAGGATGTTGACTAATCAGGGCTTTTTTTCACAGGTTGGGGAAGCAGTCCAGCCCTTAATTTATGGGAAAATTTGTATGGTATATTTGCAAAAGGGGAAGAAAAAACTTGATGTAAATTTAATTTTTGGGGAAAACTGCATGATTTTAAAGAAATTTTCTTTGGGGAAGCAGCCCTATACCGGCCCCTGTTATAGAAGGTAAAAAAGCCCTGCTAATGCTGCTTCAACTAGGGTCCTCTATTATGTAATGCCTATAAATATATCTGTTTGAACTAAAATTGGCATCATATATTTTCCAAATCATTGCTGGGAAATATTGTAGTAGTAATAAGTTTTAAGTGTGTTTCTTTTATTGTTTGAATATTTTGAATATGGAGTTTTGTTTTTGCCTTTTTTTTTGGGGTCAGTGAGTTGAAAAAGTCATCTGGCGGAGGTTGCCAGGCAGCGCCCGGGCAATGTTTTTTAGATCGGATGTTTGTTTTTGATACAAAAACACCGTCCGATTTTAAAGGCATCCGGGTGGACATCGCCCGGTCCACGCCCAGTGCCCGAATAGAGTATTATAGTATAGTATAGTATTGGTACCCGGATGATTCATGCACAGGCACCGGGCGATCATTGTTTTGTCGTACGGTGATCACGCGGCTTGAGTTTGTTGTAATTGCAGCTTGAGATTTTTAAAGTGGCCAAAATATGTATCTGTGAATTCTTTTGGATTTAACAAGCAAGAACATCATCTTGTCTCTATCAACTGCATGCCTTCTTTGTGGCATATTGACCACTGACTGTCTTTTTAATCATAAAATGCGAAGCATTTACCGCCCGGCGCCCACACGGCAACCGTCCGATCCATATATAAATCGCACAGACCCATCCAGACATAAGGCAGCGACAGCCTGGTCTTTGAATGCTTTCTGTAACGTCAAATCGGAAAAAAATCGCCGGGCTACAGTCTCATTCGTGACCATTCATGTATTCCTGGTAGTTGAAATGATAGCTATGCAAAATTAATAGAATTCATCTAAGAGTAGAATGTATATTGATGAGAAGAATTCAGCAGAAGATAAGAGATTATATGTATTGTAGTGTTCATTGGTACAATGTACCATGATGTAAGTTTCATAAGCGAGAAAAATATCCAACCACATTATTCAATTGCATGAGGTAACATTAAAAACAAGCTTTCTTTATAAACTAGCACTAAAGCATTAAATAGACGAGGGTCACAAACTAGCATTCAATAGCTGAAGGTAACTAACTATTTTTATAGCAGAAAGTGACAGTTTACTGTACCATTTAATAGCAGAAAGTAAGACTGTAGCATTGATTAATAGCAGAAAGTAAAATTGTAGCATTTAATTGCAGAAAGTAAGACTGTAGCTTTAAATAGCAGAAAGTAAGACTGAAGCATTTAATAGCAGAAAGTAACAGACTGTAGCATTTAATAGCAGAAAGTAAGACTGTAGCATTTAATAGCAGAAAGTAAGACTGTAGCATTTAATAGCAGAAAGTAACAGACTGTAGCATTTAATAGCAGAAAGTAAGACTGTAGCAATTAATAGCAGTCTGAAAGTAAGACTATAGCATTTAATAGCAGAAAGTAAGACTGTAGCATTTAATAGCAGAAAGTAAGACTGTAGCATTTAATAGCAGAAAGTAAGACTGTAGCATTTAATAGCAGAAAGTAAGACTGTAGCATTTAATAGCAGAAAGTAAGACTGTAGCATTTAATAGCAGAAAGTAACAGACTGTAGCATTTAATAGCAGAAAGTAAGACTGTAGCATTTAATAGCAGAAAGTAAGACTGTAGCATTTAATAGCAGAAAGTAAGACTGTAGCATTTAATAGCAGAAAGTAAGACTGTAGCATTTAATAGCAGAAAGTAACAGATTGTAGCATTAAATAGCAGAAAGTAAGACTGTAGCATTTAATAGCAGAAAGTAAGACTGTAGCATTTAATAGCAGAAAGTAAGACTGAAGCATTTAATAGCAGAAAGTAACAGACTGTAGCATTTAATAGCAGAAAGTAAGACTGTAGCATTTAATAGCAGAAAGTAAGACTGTAGCATTTAATAGCAGAAAGTAAGACTGTAGCATTTAATAGCAGAAAGTAAGACTGTAGCATTTAATAGCAGAAAGTAACAGACTGTAGTATTTAATAGCAGAATGTAAGACTGAAGCATTAAAAAGAAGAAAGTAAAACTGTAGCAATTAATAGCAGTCTGAAAGTAAGACTATAGCATTTAATAGCAGAAAGTAAGACTGTAGCATTTAATAGCAGAAAGTAAGACTGTAGCATTTAATAGCAGAAAGTAAGACTGTAGCATTTAATAGCAGAAAGTAAGACTGTAGCATTAATTATAGCAGAAAGTAAGACTGTAGCATTTAATAGCAGAAAGTAAGACTGTAGCATTTAATAGCAGAAAGTAAGACTGTAGTATTTAAAAGCAGAATGTAAGACTGTAGCAATTAATAGCAGAAAGTGACAGTTTGTGGTATTTAATACAGAAAGTAACAGACTGTAGCATTTAATAGCAGAAAGTGACAGGTTGTGGTATTTAATAGCAGAAAGTAACAGACTGTAGCATTTAATAGCAGAAAGTAAGACTGTAGCATTTAATAGCAGAAAGTAAGACTGTAGCATTTAATAGCAGAAAGTAAGACTGAAGCATTTAATAGCAGAAAGTAAGACTGTAGCATTTAATAGCAGAAAGTAACAGATTGTAACATTTAATAGCAGAAAGTGACAGATTGTGGCATTTAATAGCAGAAAGTAACAGACTGTAGCAATTAATAGCAGAAAGTGACAGATTGTGGCATTCATTTAAGGCAGAAAGTGACAGATTGTAGCATTTACTAGCAGAAAGTGACAGACTGTAGCAATTAATAGCAGAAAGTAACAGACTGTAGCATTTAATAGCAGAAAGTAACAGATTGTAGCATTTAATAGCAGAAAGTAACAGACTGTAGCATTTAATAGCAGAAAGTGACAGATTGTAGCATTTAATAGCAGAAAGTAACAGACTGTAGCATTTAATAGCAGAAAATGAGTCTGTAGCATTTAATAGCAGAAAATGACAGACTGTAGCATTTAATAGCAGAAAATGACAGACTGTAGCATTTAATAGCAGAAATGATAAAAAACAACAGAAATAGATAAAAATAGCATTCGGAAGTATCTGTAGTTTTAGTAGAGGATATCATTATGTAACATTTTAGACTAGAAACACTTAACTGGAATATGATAGTATTTTAATGTTTAAGTTTCTGACAGTGGTGTTATATGTTAGCATGCGATGGTAGATTATAGTTAATGAGCAGAAGAATTCTATTTGCATATATTTGTTTCTACAAAAGCCAGTTATGTTGACTCTATGAAGCAGAAACTATTGATTGGGCATGACGGAGACTGGCTGTTTACTCTGGAAATTTTCCACAGAAGCTTTAAGCAGCCATTGATTTTTGTTAAGTTACAGGGTTCATAATGAGAGTAATTGATAGCTTCCATTGTATGTGTGTGTAGAATGGTAGTTATATGAGATATGGGAAAATAAATTGTGAATAAACTCCATAAATTGTTGTAGAAACAATGTAAACTGTTAAAACATTGAATGTTGTATTTATGACTTTGTAAGGGGCTGATTTGTTCTAGATTTTGTTGGAGAAGAAACACATGTGTTTTATTAATGAAAATACTTAACAACTGGAGCAGTGGATGTGTTACTTGAATGATTTTGTCTGTTTCTTTATTATTCTCATCTTTTCAAAGATATTCACACTATGAAATATTTAGGATAGCTGCCAAATATATGCACATGCATTGTTGTGTGTCTGCTAGTGAATTATAGCATGCAACCGTCTGGGGTTATATACTGTTATTGTAGATGTAAATATACAAAAACATATCAACAGATTTTTAATCAGGATACTTGTGGGTGCTTTTAGCTGATTAATGAAATAAAAATGTTATATGTGATGAAATTGTTGAAATAAATGATGAACTGGTGGACATGTATTCAGATTATATTAATATTTTAGTTTGTATCTAGTTGTATACTCTAAGATCATGTTAAAGTTTTTATGTGGTTGTATACCCAAGGATCATAATTATTAAAGTTGGTATCTGGTTGTATACCCTAGGATCATGTTTATGTTGGTTTCTGGTTGTATACCCTAGGATCATGTTTATGTTGGTTTCTGGTTGTATACCCTATGATCATGTTTATGTTGGTTTCTGGTTGTATACCCTAGGATCATGTTAAAGTTGGTATCTGGTTGTATACCCTAGGATCATGTTTATGTTGGTATCTGGTTGTATACCCTAGGATCATGTTAAAGTTGGTATCTGGTTGTATACCCTAGGATCATGTTTATGTTGGTATCTGGTTGTATACCCTAGGATCATGTTTATGTTGGTTTCTGGTTGTATACCCTAGGATCATGTTAAAGTTGGTATCTGGTTGTATACCCTAGGATCATATTAAAGTTGGTATCTGGTTGTATACCCTAGGATCATATTAAAGATCATGTTAAAGTTAATGTATCTGTTTGTATACCCTAGGATCATGTTTATGTTGGTATCTGGTTGTATACCCTAGGATCATGTTAAAGTTGGTATCTGGTTGTATACCCTAGGATCATGTTTAAGTTGGTATCTGCTTTATATTAAAGTTTGTATCTGGTTGTATACGCTAGAATCATATTGAAGTATGTATCTGGTTTTATACTCTATGATCATGTTAAAGTTTGTATCTGGTTGTATACGCTAGAATCATATTGAGGTTTGTATCTGGTTGTATCACTATGATCATGTTAAAGTTGACATTGGTTGAACACATTGAAGCTGGTATTTGGTTGAATACCTATAATACTTGTCAAAGAAACCTTTTTTAAGTTTTATGTACATAAAAGGGTTAATATTATAAAATACATAATATAAAATATTTTATGTCAAGTGTTTAAGTATTTATACATAGTGAATAACCTTTCTTTTCACTTTGAGAATAATGATAATTCTTTTTATATAGATACACTAGTCTGCTTGCTATACAGTTTATAGCCAATAGGTGTGTGTTAAATGCTCGGAATTTCAAGTATATAGATATTGCAAACATAGAAAGTACTTCATGTAATTATTCTTGAGAGATAAAATGTTTCTTGGCAAGTTATGATGTGAATTATTTTGCTTAATTTTTGGAAAATTTGAAAATAAGATATTTCAATTTTTGTTCTTTAGAAAAAATGGATTTCAGAAAGGTATAGTTTAATTATGAATACCATTGACTGTCATCATAGTTGAGTGTTTCACTCACAGATAGAATCAGTTTTGTCTGTAGTGCATCCATTAATGATTTAGTTATCATTATTTCCAGAAGTGAAGGAATATTGTCACATTGATTTTATTAGTGCTTGGAAAATAGATTTGAGGCTTAAGTTACCATGTTAAGATAACATAGAGACAATTTACAACATATCCAACAAAGATCATGGTTTTGCTCCCATGGCAACATTAAATATGTTATGCTTATTTCTACATTTAAGGAAATGGCAGAATATTTGACAACAAAAATATTGTGTTGAAATGCTAGGAATTTGTATGATATCATCTTATTAAATTGTTTGGAATACAGGGAAACAGAATATAGAATTATTGATTAAACTACTGAAATTTTCTCCTTTACTGCTTCACTGTATTTGTTGAGAGTTAAGATCAGAGTATTTACTAGCGGGCATAACTGGAGAAAATCAGCAATTCTACATTTTATTGAGGATCTGTTTAAGTGTGAAAAATAAAAACCATTTTGTGCAGATTGGTCTTGGATAAAGGAAAATTTGTTGTTAAAATGGCGGAGGAGACAATATATCTGTGCAAGTTCCGTGTATCGGTTGATGGAGATTGGTTATGTCTCCGAGAGTTGAGTGATGTTCAGTTTGAAGTTCCACCATCTCTTAGTAATTCAATGATAGAAGATGATGGTTAGTATATCATTTCTTTATCAGTTTATTTTGTGACTGTATTAAGTTATTTTTAAGGAAGATTTGTGTCAATAGTTTCTGTAATTAGATCTGTGAGTACTGTGTAGTAGCAAAATAATAGCTTTACTTTGACCAGTATTGAAAAATGACATGTCATTTCCATCAAAATACACTATTAGGTGCATATAGCCTGATTGAAGGGACTTAGTTGTGAGTTAACTTTGCAATAATATGAACAACTTCAGGAAGACTTTTACACCAGTAAAGAACCAGGCCAACATGCGCATTTGTGCAGTCTGACCAGACTATATTGTTGATAGCTCATTTTTTTATATTAAATTCTGTTTAACTTTGAATGGACAGTGAGCAAATTTATTAAAGAAATACAGCAGCTTAGGGATTAAGATTTTATTTTACTGATTGATGTCTGACATTTCATATTTCATATCATAAATGCACTGTTTACTTGTTAGCAGGTAGTTCATTGTTATCCTCAATCACAGAATGTTTTCACACATGTTGAAATGCTTATATGTATATGAAAATGGATTTAAAAACCTGAAATTTCAATGTGTTTCTTTATTTCTTCATTTATTTATCACGGTGTACGGACATAATCCCCTTCGGACAAAATCCCCTTCATGTATTTTTGTATATCTGGACATAATCCCCTTCATGGGTGGACATAATCCCCTTCATGTGTGAAATTTTGAAGTGGACAAAATCCCCTTCATAAAATTGCTACCTAGGACAAAATCCCCCTCAGAGGAATTTTCGGTTTATAAAGTGGGTATGAGAGTTATAAAGTGGGTATGAGAGCGACATGCTGTATTATGCTGTGTAGTAAATATCTATCTTAATGTATAAATATCAGCAGAAAAGCACATTCAATTAGCACATTTTAATCACATTAAAATTGCTTTGTTAAAGCATTCATAACAATCAATCAAGTAGTGCAGTGATCTCGGTTTAATAAATTATCACTCTTTCATCAATAGAAATTGTAACAATGGATAGTATATCAATTAGAATTATCAACTTATACAATCAATGAAACAATTATTGGCTAATAAATTTTTTTTCATACTAATCAATTTAAAACAATTTAAGAAATTTCCTAATCAAATATGTGTTATGCAGTTGATAATTTACCATAATATTTTTAATGAAAACTTCTAAACTAAATAAAGGTTAACTATTGATACATAATTATAAATAAAAAAAACAAAAGTTCATTATTCATCAATTTTTAGGGAGTATAATAATACATTATTCATCAATTTTTATGGAGCATAATCATACATAAGAAACCTATGAAACAAGGGGATTTTGTCCGGGTAGTGAAGGGGATTTTGTCCAGCCTTGCAAAAACATGAAGGGGATTATGTCCACCCATGAAGGGGATTTTGTCCGGGTAGGCGAAGGGGATTTTGTCCAAAGGGGATTATGTCTGACATTCATTTATCACACCTTCCCAACCCTCTGTACCTACACAATGTATGTATGTCATGTTAGGTAACTAATTTATGATAATAGAGTCTTAATTGCTACATTATATTTGAAGTGTAAGTGCCAATGTGTATACAGCAGATGGTCAGCTTTAATATCTTTAGGAATTTCATTTTCAAAGTGCTTAATTTAACCACCCAAAAGTACACACCTGGCTCTATTCTTGTCATGTATAGTGGTCAGTCTGCATAGAGATGCATACACACCTGGCTCTATTCTAGTCGTGTATAGTGGTCAGTCTGCATATAGACGCATACACGCCTGGCTCTATTCTAGTTGTGTATAGTGGTCAGTCTGCATATAGACGCATATAACACGCATGGCTCTATTGTAGTCGTGTATAGTGGTCAGTCTGCATATAGACGCATACACGCCTGGCTCAATTGTAGTCGTGTATAGTGGTCAGTCTGCATATAGACGCATACACGCCTGGCTCAATTGTAGTCGTGTATAGTGGTCAGTCTGCATATAGACGCATACACGCCTGGCTCTATTGTAGTCGTGTATAGTGGTCAGTCTGCATAGAGATGCATACACGCCTGGCTCTATTCTAGTCGTGTATAGTGGTCAGTCTGCATAGAGATGCATGCATGCCTGGCTCTATTCTACGCCTGGCTCTATTCTAGTCGTGTATAGTGGTCAGTCTGCATAGAGATGCATACACGCCTGGCTCTATTCTAGTCGTGTATAGTGGTCAGTCTGCATAGAGATGCATACACGCCTGGCTCTATTCTAGTTGTGTATAGTGGTCAGTCTGCATAGAAGTGCATACACGCCTGGCTCTATTGTAGTCGTGTATAGTGGTCAGTCTGCATATAGACGCATACACACCTGGCTCTATTGTAGTTCTGTATAGTGGTCAGTCTGCATATAGACGCATACACGCCTGGCTCTATTGTAGTCGTGTATAGTGGTCAGTCTGCATATAGACGCATACACGCCTGGCTCTATTGTAGTCATGTATAGTGGTCAGTCTGCATATAGACGCATACACGCCTGGCTCTATTCTAGTTGTGTATAGTGGTCAGTCTACATATAGACGCATGCACGATCTATGATTGTTTTTCATTACAATAAGTATTGCAATACTAGTACCTGTTGACTGTATTGTAGTATGGGTTTTGCTTTATCAGTGAACTGTGCACCCCTACTCTATATTGGTAGTATTTAACTGTTGGAAATTTAAATATTTCGATTTTAGGTAATGCTTAAACTGTGATATAAAGATTAACATGGTATTTCTATTCTTATACCTTATCTATTTTAGATCGAGATCCAAGGACAATAGAAAGAGCGAATTTATTAAATGTTTCAAAGTTGATAATTAAAGAGTTAATAGACTCATCAATGGCACATGGAAGAATGCTTGACGATGATCATGAACCCCTGCAACAGTTTTTTGTCGTTCTGGAACATGTTTTGAGACATGGACTGAGACGTTAGTATTTTCATGGGTGACACTTTGTAATTTTTCATACAAAAATAATCAGACTATTTGTAGTTATGTTTTAGTTCAGTTTATTTGAATTTGGTCAGTATCATCACACTTATGTTATATCTTGTAAGGAAGCAGTGGCTTCACAATATTGTTTTACTACACTCTTACTTTAATGTTATCAAGACATGTATTATATCTTGATATTAACTGTTTTAACAATGGTAGTTTAATGTAGTAAAAATACATCATTAAACATCAAATTATTCTCTCTTTTTTGTTTCAATTTCATTCACAGTCATCACAAATTTTATTGATGAATATTCTCAATGTCTTATGAACCTGATTTATCTGCACTCTAAAAACTTGTTTAAACCTTTAACACAAATTGTCTCTATACTAATAGAGTTGTTTATTGATGAGAATGATGTATGACCCTGCTAAGGTTATACAGTATTAACAAATATTGAAGACTTGAAGTACAATATTATTTTAGCTGCATAGTTGAATGTAATACATTGTACTATGAACATACATGATTGTAGTGTACTTGTATTGAAGTTCAGTACCATTTTAATATAGTCTCAATGACTTAAATTTGATGTTTTGTTCTGTAAATTTATGAGCTTTATAATGAATCAGTTAGTTACAGACATTCATCAGGAAAAAATCAATTATGGAAAATACTTGATTTAACATAAACATATGATTGAAAATGAGAGTTGAAATTGCTATGGTGTATCGTTATGTATTTATATATCTCCAGCAAAGAAGAGTATCCTGAGAGATCGTAGAGATTTTTGGTGTGTCCTTGAGCTAGTTGAGAAGTTTGCACCAGAGGCTGCAGACATAACTTCCACTGTGAGAGATATGCCTCATCTAAAGTAAGATATTATCACCTTCATACATCTATATGCTTTGTTTTAAATCAGGCCAAATTTTACTATTTCTCAAAAATTTAATTCTTGTCTTGGAGGGACCTTACAGCTTTGCAGTTTATTTAGGAAGCTAAATGTTTAGGGTTGTATGTCAGATTTTAATCTTTTACTTGTAATTTTAATTGTGTATAATATTATTTTCTTGCCTTACTATAAAAGAATCTAATTGTTCTTGCTCTTTGAATCATTCTCCGCCAGTGCCTGTGTTAGAGTGAATTTATTTTCCCTAGCACTTATGTTAAGGTCAATTATTTTCCCTAGCACTTGTGTTAGAGTGAATTATTTTCCCCTAGCACTTTTGTTAGAGTGAATTATTTTTCCTAGCTCCTGAGTTAGAGTCAATTATTTTCCCTAGCACCTGAGTTAGAGTGAATTATTTTCCCAAGTGAATTATTTTCTCTAGTACCTGCATAATAGTTTTATTTTCTGCAACGCCTGTGTCAGAGTGGCTACGCCCTCGTGGTATCATTCCTGGCATCCGAACTCCAAACAGTGATTTTATTGAGTGATAAAATCACTGTTTGGGATATATTATTTCTTAATTATTGTCCCCAGCACCTGTGTTAGAGTAAGTATTTTCCCTGGCATTGTGTTGGTGTGAATCATTTTTCCCCACATCTATGTTGGTCTGAATATTGCTAGTGAAATTATTTTGTTCTTATAGGGAAACATTACACCAGTCTCCAGCAAATATGGTGTATAGGCGGTCAGACAATGAACTGTCTTGTTGTAAAATTATTTACTCATGGTGGAAGTTATTTTATCAACAGTTTATTCCTTTGGTTTACCACCAGATATATTGAAAAGTTGTCACATTACATAATGGACACTGTTTGGGATAACTTAAAGGTTTTTTTTCATTATCATAAAATTTGATGATAGATATTGTATTATTGTTATTTACAATGTGTCATGTGATTACAGGACTCCGCTTGGAAAGGCGAGAGCATGGTTGAGATTAGCAGCAATGCAGAAATGTCTTGCAGATTATTTTAAACTTCTCATTGAAAAGAGAGAAATGGTTTTAACGTAAGTATGGCTTGAGATAAAATTTTGTGTTATACATTGCTAAATTTTTTAAGTTAAGATAAAAGGTTTATTGATTTATAGACTAATGATACTAGGCTTCTGAAGATGAGTTTGAAATTATAATTTAATGTTTGTATTGACCTGTTTTTCTGTGTTAATTTGACTGTATTGATGCTTGATTATTCTGTAGAGTAGTGTATAAATCTTATTACTGGAGTATTTATAAAAAACTAAAATTCATCCATTGTTGATGAAATAACTGAAAATATATAGGGAATACAATTGAAATTTAGATGTTTTGTCATCGACTTACATATTGATTGTACATTAATTATCAAAGTTTATATTATAAGTGATATGAAGTATATAAATATCACAATAAACATTGTTTTATGTTTGTTGTAGTGATTTTTATGAGCCTGGTGCATTTTTAATGGAGGATGAAGGAACTGTGATAGCAGGTCTGTTGGTAGGACTCAATGTGATAGACTGTAACCTTGGAATCAAGGATGAGGACCTTGACCAACCAGTATGTATACTTATTTCAGTAACCCAGTCTGGTGACTATACTTTCATCTGTTATCCATTTTGATATTTGAAATTTATCAGTAGAATTAAGTATGGAATATTACTTTATCCAAATATACAGTATGTACTCTAATTAAAAACTAGGGAAAATATTTAAATTGTTTTACATTTTCAAACTTGACTTTAGTAAATAATGACAAATTATTGTTATTAAATTACAGATGGGTGTGATAGATTTTAGTTTATATTTGAAAGACACAAGACTGGCTGACACAGATCAGGATTCAGAGAGGCAGGTTTTTTCAGTTACTTATTTTGACCTTGCATTGATTATAAATGCCACCATCACATTGATTATAAATGCCACCATCACATTGATTATAAATGCCACCATCACATTGATTATAAATGCCACCATCACATTGATTATAAATGCCACCATCACATTGATTATAAATGCCACCATCACATTCATCTTTACCCTTAACCTGCTAGAACCGAAATTAGTTTTGTTCACCAGTATAAAACTAAGCCAGCTGTGCAGTCTGACCAGGCTCTATAATGTTTATAGGTCACTTTTAGGTTGAATTTTTGAAGAATTGTGAGAGCTATTATACTCACCACCTATTATACTCACCAGCTATTATACTCACTAAGGCATCAGTGTCACACTTTGGTTAAGTTTTTTGCTTGCAAATTGGTATCTCCAAAACTACTGAAGGAAATAGGTTAAAACTTCACACACTTATTTGAGAGCATAATCAGAGGTCAATGTCCAAGGCCCATAACTCTAACATGGAATTTTTACAGAATTTTGGCCCTTTTTGAACTTACTAAATTCTACATTAGCTAGGCTTTCGTTTTACTATCAAGCACTAAGAATAGTCTAGCATGATGCTGTCTGACTGACAGCTGTTAATTTATATTTTAAATTGAAATCATAAACTATGTCGGTTTTAAATCAGGCCAAATCCATTAGACAAATTCAACAGGTTAAGGGTTAACAACAAAATATCTGTACAAGATAAATATGGTATTTATAAATTGTCACATTGTGCAGGCTTCGATGAATTTTTCTATTAATTTACTCGCCCTTCATAAAATGTACTTGCCCTGCATTTTGACGGACAAAAATACAAAAATGTAGTTAAAATCAAAAACACATGACTTACACATATACTTTTTACCTGTTTATAACAGTATAATCAGCTTTATAGAATTACATATTGTTTATAATAAATTTCATTCTTTTAATATATAATCTTCGACATAGCCAGAATACTTATTTCATTCAAATTCTAATGCACTCGGCTGAAATATTTACCTTATATAATAAAACTTTACTGATAGCCTATGAATAAAACATTGTCAAATGCTAACTGACTGTTGTTACGGAATTGATTCATCATTCCCGTTTGGTAAAGTTTTATACTTAGCTATGAGGTTAATTTCCGGTTTTCATTTGACAGGTATTATGATTGAAATAGTGTCTGCAGTTTAATTTTTTATTGAATAACTTCATTTATAAATGTTAAGAGAAACATCATTTGTATCGGGAAAATCTTACTCTCTCTACCTCGCCTGTCCCGAGTTTGTCAAGGCCTGTTGTGGTGATAGTTTTTCTTGTTGATATTGCTGACATTGAGTCACTTTTCTCTCACATATTTTGGTTTGTATCTAAATCTTGAAAACTTAATGTTCATCTATACGTTTGTGTTGTTGTTGTTTTTTTCTTGTCTGCATATGACTTGAGACAACACAAAAAACATTCAGGGTCTGCCTACATCAAGACATCTTGCCAATGCCATTATCTGTGATAGTGACATAAAAATCAACAAAATCCACACCTGTGTTTAAAACATATAATATCAAAGAAAGGTAGAGGCATCAATACATTACCCTATCATTAATTTTGACAAAATTGTTCTCACTTATCAATTTTAAATTTTAGTTAAGGATTTTGTTCTAGGTTATGCTTTGAGACTAGGAATATTTGAAAATAAACAATGAGCTCAACTTAGAATATTCTAGCATATCACCATGAAGACATTCTTTGTTGCCCGTATTCTCAATAAGTAATAAAATATTTAACCTATTATATATTATCAGTGCTGCCATGCAGGAGAAGATGCAGACTATCCTAGACCAGAAAAATTATCTTGAAGAGCTCAACCGACACCTTAAGTAAGTTACTTTCTTCAATCTAACCTATTTCTCTATATATGTGTGAAAGCTAGTGTGTGCGCAGTTAGTGATGCTATCCAATTTCAAAACTATTCTTAAAATAAGTTGCAGGACATTGTTGTTTCTGTACCTAGCTTTAAATTGTCTGTGTACTGTTTTTCTCTACCCCTATTGTAAAAGAGAAATGTTTAAATAAATTATAAGTGAATAACATAAAATCTATATTGAGATCATTGCTGTTTAACTTTACAGAAAATAATTGTAACATACCTGTTTCATGTTTGATATACTGGTCATGAATTTATGAATTAACAAGTATGCAAATGAGTTACTTCAGTCTTTTGAAGAAATATATGCAGTTTCTCAAAAGCTATTTAATGTGCACATTACATGAACCTTATTATTGTCAAGTGCTAAATATAGAGTTAAGATGATTGTTGATCTCAGTACTAATACATTATGACAGAACAATCTCATGTTTGTTTTTATCTTTTACTTCAGCACAACAGTAGCAAATCTTCAGCAGAAGTTAGAAATGTGTAACACAACTAATGCCTTGATGAAAGAAGATCTTGCCATTGCGAAAAATACAATTCTTGAATTAGAAGATGAGAAATTGAGCGCAGAATCCCAAAGAGATACAATTCTTCATGTACACAAACACCATATTGAGGTGTGTCCTAAATGCGGCTTTAAACTAGAACCAGATAACAATAATTCTAAATCAAATACTTGAAATATATATTAATGTACAATGTTCTTTACATTCTTTAATTACAGTATATCATGTGCAATAACAGTTGTGCAATATTTGGTCAATTTTCATGTAATATGACACCATAAAAAGTCCAAGTTTTTTGTCAATTTGCTTGAAAATGTAACATGCTGTTTATGCTTAATGTCTGGGAGGAAATATGAATCTCTCTGTCCATTCTACCTTGTGATAAATGCATCAAAATAAAGAACAGTTTCTAAAGAAGTAGTTCCATCACATTAACTTGCATGGCACCTTACTGATATATACAATTATGGCTCTAATTATGCTCATTCTTATATACCTGCATCAACTTCAGTTAAAATGCTTGAATGCCATTTGGGATTATCTGTATTCTTACAAAAGGTCAAGGCATGATATTGTCTTGTATGTTAATATCATTATCATACCATTGACAAAGTTATTCCTCTACTTCACTGACCTATTATATCATCTGATTCTAGATACAAATTGTCCTCTTAACATCATTTTCTCATTAGATATTGAAAAACATGTTTCATTTTTTACAATGAACTTTATAAAATATTATAAAATATCACTATGGCAACAGAAAGTGAATCATGTCAAGGACACAAAAGAAAATACAGAGGTGAATGAAGTTACTAAAGATGATACCGAGATTAAAGAAGACCATATAGAAGAAAGTGAGATGACAGGTGATGAGGATGAGATCGTACAAGATCAAAATGGTAGAAATGAGATCCCTCTCAATGAAGAATTAGAAGCTGCAATGAAACATCACAAGACTGAGTCTTTTGAGGATATCCCTAATGAAGCAGATACAGCCAATATTGTAGAGCCTTCCACTCTTACTGTAACATCTGCTCCAATGCACATACCTACCCTGATTCAAAGTTCTTCAAGTCCTAGAGACATCTTTATGCCACTGATATCAAAGTTCCGCTCTGGATCTACAGGTTCCAGTCCAAAGAAATCCAAAGTATTTGGTTTTCATTATATCCCTGCACATTGTCACAATCTTTTCCTACATACATTGTACCTTTCCAATTTAACCCTTTCCCCCATGAGCATATTGTGAAAAATGGCCATTTTTACTGAAAAGCCTCCTCTTACAAGTTCAAACTCAATGAAACTATGAAAAATGCTTCAATACTAATCAAACTTGGCACAAATGTTGACTGGACCATTGCCTTTGTGACGACATGCTCAGTCTTAAATTTCCTGTTACCATGGCAACGAGGGGACATCTCAAAATTGCCAAAACTCACTATTTTGCCTCGATTTTTCCATCAAAATTTATTTCAAAGTGCTGCAACTTCTCAAGGGATTGATATAGAGTCAAAGGCTTTTCAGCGTTGGTTACACGTTATATTATGATCGACCTGGGGTCATTTTTAGCCTCCCACAAGTCCAAAATTTTCTTGGCGATGAGGGGGACTCCGCCCCCCTTCAAACCCCCCTAACAGAAGGGGGCACATCCCCCTTCTGGCAACCCCCTGATGTATCTTTTGGATGGGGGGCGGCGCCGAAAAAGTGCTTAATTTTTTGACCAACATTTCTTAAACGAAAACATGTGTTTGGGGCCCAAATAGGACATTTTTTCACTATTTGAGGCCTAAAAAAAGGGGGGGGGGTCGAAAATGCGTTGTTTCGCGTATATATGTGGTAAAGGGTTAAGGGACACAATAGACAAATTTACTATATTTATAAACATGAAAACAAAATCATGTTGAAAACCATGTAAGTGAACATTGCCAAATGAAGAACGTAAAATAAGGTCAATATAACTCCCAATTTTGAAATGCTTAATTCATAGCTATAAACTAGCATTTTGCTTTTCCTTCAATGCAATAACATACACATTCAAATTTAATAGACCTTAACTGACTCACATCATTTATACTCTTTCAGCTCACAGAAAGTGTTCAAAATTGTCATATTTTCAAGGGGCCAATCTTTATAACGCATGATGTCTTCCTAAACCTCAATCATGTTGTTAATTTCTATTGATCAATGTTGATTAGAATTGTATATAGACTGATGAGAAGTTACGGAATATTTATGGTTGTTTGAGTGTTAAGTGTTGCTTTTTTGATTTGTCAAAATAACATTTCTGATTGGTTGAATGTTTTAAATGAAAACATGTGCTGTTGGAACACTGATAAAGGTGTGCTTAAACCTATTTATTGTAAAATAAACTTGTATTGTTGTGAGAATAAATCATGAAATTGTTGTTTTCTCTTTTTCTTATCAAACATGTACTAAATAATACTACCTAAAATAAAAATTAATTTCATTTTTAGCTTGACTTTTTTTCGAAGAAAATAGAGGTATTGTGACAGTCATGGCGGCATTGAAGTTGCTCGCAAACAACCTTGATCAAAATTTTTTTAAGTTTCTGGTGTATGGTCTTCACACTTGGCCACAAAATTCTTTTGGACAAGACCTTCAAGTAGACTCGACTAAACTTGACCTTCATTTATAAATGACCTTGACCTTCAAGGTCAAATATCTAAATTTTGCTTGATTGTAACTATTAGTGGCTATAAATTTTTAGCTCACTTGAGCTAGCTCAGGGTGAGCTTTTAAGATTGTTGAATGTCAGCAGTCCGTCCACATTTGTTTGTTTACACTCTAGTTGTCACATTTTTGCCTCAATCATCATCAAACAATGAACAATGTCAGGGTGCTTGTCTAGATAATTGCTTGGATGAGTTCGAACATGGGTCATAGGAGCTAAAAATAGAAAAATCTTGTTAACATTCTAGTGTATACTGTTTTGATCCAAATATCCTGGAAATTGGTCTGAAAGTTTATTAAGATGATTTCTAGGTCAAGTTCGAATATTGGTCACCTGGGGTCTGAAACTAGGTCACACTGCCCAAATAAGGAAAAACCTTGTTAACACTCTAGTGGTCACATTTTAACTTAATTGTAATCAAACTTGGTCAGGATGTGTGTCTAGTTAATCAATTGGATGAGTTCAAACATGGGTCATCTCGGATGAAAAACTAGGTCACAGGAGCTAAAAATAGAAAAATCCTTTGAACACTAGTGGCTACTGTTTTTGATCCTAATATCCTGGAAATAAGTTTGAAAGTTTGTTTTGATGATGTCTAGGTCAAGTTTGAATATGTGTCACCTGGGGTCAAAAACTAGGTCACAACGCCCAAATATGGAAAAAAACCTTGTTAACACTTTAGTAGTCACATTTTTTACTCAATTGCCATCATATTTGGTCAGGATGCTTGTCTAGGTAATTGCTAACATGAGTCGGAACATGGTTCATCTCTGATGAAAAACTAGGTCAAAGGAGCTAAAAATAGAAAAATCCTATTAACTCTAGTGGCTACTGTTGTTATCCAAATATCCTGTAACTTGGTCTGCAAGTTTGTTTTGATGATTTCTAGGACAAGTTTGAATATGGGTCACCTGGGGTCAAAAAGTAGGTCATACGGCCCAAATATGGAAAAACCTTGGTAACACTCTAGTGGTCACATTTTTTACTCAAATTGTCATTTAACTTCAGGATGCTTGTCTAAGTAAAAACTCTGATGAGTTTGATGGGTCAGGTGAGCAATCTAAGGCCATCTTGGCCCTCTTGTTTTATTTTGGAATGGATTGTCTTCAGATTTGAACACATGAACCTTTTAGGATAGACCTTCAAGTTAACCAAACAGACCTTGACATTCACTCATAAATGACCTTGAACTAGAAGGTCAAATTATTGAAATTTTCATGTTTTTGCTGTAACTGGCTATAACATTGTTATTAATGAATGGATTTACTTCATATTAACTTTTATGTATATCAAACTCAACTTGATCTTGGCTCTTTTATGACCTTGACCTTGAATGTTAAATTATTGAATTTTCACTGATTTTGCTATAATTGACTTTAACTTTGTAACAAATGAAAGGATTTTCTTCATACTTGGACAAAACAACCTTTTGGATGAGACCTTCTCAAAAATTTAACTTACCTTGAGCTTTAAATGAGTTGACCGTTAAGGTCAAATTATTGAATTTTGGTTAAATTGTCATAATTTTGTTATTTATGTACAAATTTGCTTTATACTTGGGCAAAACAAGACTTGTTTCCAAACAGACATATTGAATAATTAAGATGTGACCTCAACCTTTAATTGACTGACCATCAAGGTCAAATGAAAGAAATTTTGCATGTTTTTTTCTGTAACTGGCTATAACTTTGTTATTTATGACTGGATCAACTTCATATTAAGATACAACTTTTAAGTCAAGACCTTTATGTATATCAAGCTCAAATTTCCCTTTACTCATGTAAGATCTTGAAGGTCAGATTATTGAATTTTCACACATAATTGCTATAATTGGATGTAACTTGGTAAGGCCAATAATTTAGATGTAATCTTGACCTTTAATTTACCTTGCTAACTTTCTAGCTGACTTAGATAATTTGACGAAGTGTCCTTCTTTCTTGTCCTTTGATGTACAATTATGCAATTTGGACTATGTGCACAGTTTTAGATATGAAATCAAACTTACAAATCAGCTGACCTAGATAATTTGAGAAAGTGACCTATTTTCTTGTCCTTTGATGTACAGTTATGAAATTTTGACAAATAGCACAGTTTTAGATGAAAGATCACCTGACCTAGATAATTTGATGAAATGATCTACTTTGTTGTCCTTTTGATGTACCACTATGAAATTTCTACCATGTGCACAGTTTCAAATGTTAAACTGATCATTGAACATTATGGTAATGATTCATACTTGGACAAAACAACAAGTTTGACTTAGACCTACCTATTGAAATTTAACAAAAAATAGGAAAAAACTTTTTTTCTTTAATATTCTTTTTAAAGATTTGTTTCAACCTTTTAATTTGCTTTTAGAAAAAGAAAAAAGCGTTGCCCCCTCCGACCATGGCTCTTGTTCCCTTTTGATAACACTACAAATAGAGTCCACTTTATCTAAATTTGACTGTAAAAGATTGATGGTAAATGTAACTTGATCTATAACTTAAGAAATGATATTGTGGCAGAGTTGACTAGACTATGGCATTACAAGGAGCATTCTGAAATAACCGAGACAATATCGATTAATTTAAGGCATTTTACAAGGTGTACTCTGGAATGTAACTTGGACAGAATTGGTTAAATGAGAAAATTCAAGGTGCATTCTGGAATAACTGGGACAGAATCAGTTAAATAAGGCATTTCAAGGTCCATTCTGGAATAACGTGAGATAGAGTTGGTTAAAGTAAGGCATTGCACTCTTGAATATGGTTAAAATCACAAGGTGTACTCTGGACTCCATTTGTAATATGCAATGACTTAATAATGAAAATGTTCATTGACTTTTGTGAGGCTAAGTAAGGAGGAAAGTTAGATGCAAAAAAAAAAGAGAAAATGACAATCTCTGAAAATATTTAAAGACACAGTTTCACTTTTAAGTAATACTGATGTGATAATAAACATATGACTCTTGAGATAATTTTGTTGTGTTGCCTCTACAGAGTAGTGGCGACGTATAGGGATCACTTCTCTGTCATCTGTCTGTCCGTCCGTACAAAGCAAATGGCACTTGTGTGACTTGGAGAACAAAAGGTAATGGTACATTTTCTTTGATCCGTTTCATTCCGTTTGTCTTTTTTTAGGGCTTGTGTAACTAAAAATGGCTAAAAAGATTAAAGGAAAAGTCACATAAGTACCATTTCGCAAGTCTGTCTGTCCGTGCGTCACAAAACTTGTCTGGACTACTCCTCAAAAACTACTGGTGCAATTTCATTTCATCCAAACTTTACAGGAATGATTAGTACCAAGTCTAATTGTGCATATCATGGGTTTAAGTACTAAGTCTAGTTTCAATATCATCGGCTTTTTATGGTTCAATAATTTTTTTCGGAGTAATGGCCCTTAAATTATTTTGACTACTCCTCTTATACCATTAATGCAATTTCAATGAAACTTTACAGGATTGTTTGGTAGGTCAATTTCTTGCCCTTATTACACAGGTTTTCCGCTTGAATGACTTTTGGCCGAGTTATGGCACTTGAATGAAAACGGTGTTAATGAAGTTTTGTCCGGACTACTCCTCTTTACAGGATTGATTGCTCAAGTTCTTGTGCATGATACACAAGTTTTCTGTTTGAATGATTTGTGGCTGAGTTATGGTCCTTGAAAAAAAAAATCGTGTTTTTTTTGTTGCCAGCTACACAGAAGCTTGTCTGGACTACTCCTCAGAAACTACTGGTACAGTGTCATCAAAACTGTACAGGAATTGTCAATACCATGTCTAGTTGTGCGTCTCATCGACATTTTTCAGTTCATTGATTTTTGTCAGAGTTATAGCCTTTAAATGATTGAAAAATTTTAAATATGTCAGACCTACTCCTCTTATACCACTAATGCAATTTCAATGAAAATTTACAGGCTTGATTGGTAGCTCAAATCCTTGTGCATATTATACAGGTTTTTAGGTTGAATAATTTTTGATTGAGTTATAGCTATCATGAGGCGACATGTGATCACTGATCGCTCTTGTTATTTCTTTGGAATATAGACAAATTTCTTTTTGTATTATCAATCATGTAGGAATTTTTATCCAGCAAAATTCTTTTCTTAAGGCATTAAGTCATATTTAAAACAATCTAAATAATGATAATTATGTCGCATCTGCTTGCTTGATCAAAATTACAAAGGCCATAACAGTTTGATTACAGGTTTTTAGCAAGAAGAATCTGACTTTCATGTTATTCAATGTGAATCTGAATGGCAATTTATTTATGCATGGAAAAAATGCTTGAACATGGAAATAGTTGTACTTGCTAGGAATGAGTCATCAAGAAGACATTGCTATTGATCAGTATTGGAAAATTCAATAGATCACTCTTAATGCTGCCTTGTGTGTGTGGGTTGGTGAGACTGATCATGGTGCCTAATAACTTTTATTTTAAATGACCTCAATTGGTGATAATGGCCAATAAAACACATTAAAATATAGACAATGTCCAGAGATAAGATTTGAAAAATGACATGAATAACTCAGCTCCAGTATTATATAGCCATTATATAAAAAATGACACAAACATCTTTCTGTTCAATTAAAATATGGACTAATCACTCACATTGTTATCTTGTTGTGACTGTCTATCTGAGGAAATCAGAAGCTGGCCTAAATCTTCCTAAACATTTATACCATGGGTAGACTTTCAATATAAGGGTGACAATTTGTAATCTATTATTCATACACACCAATATCATGCACTGTTCAAGCTTCCCACATAATCAATATTCCTTTGATAAGCTCTGACTAGTTGTCTCCCTTCACTTCAAGGTTATTCCTATGTTCTTACATGCAGCAGGAATTCTGTATAACCTTTACATTTTGTTTTCCTTCTTTAGTCAAGAGTTGTCTCCTTTTTCCTTATGAAATGAGTGTAACTTTATGCATTTTTTTTAAACAAAAAAGATCTTAAAGAATATCAATTTGTCAAAATACATGAAAAGTGACAACAAATTAATTATGAAAAATGACTTTATGTCTGAAGTAATTTAAGTCTGAAGTAATTTATATTAAAAATTATTGTAACTTCATTATAATTTTTTTATAAACAAAAAACACTTCTTAATACGCATTTTCTTATGATGCTCATATATTTTTGATATTTGAAGTTTTAACTTTTTACTGAAATATTTTATAATAATAATAATGTAGTTATGTTTGATAATTGTTGAAAGGAATCTAAAAAAGACATAGATGTAGAACGTCAAACATACCTTCAATCACGGGCTGGCCTTGATGATATGTACGCTGAGGTGAAGAAAAAACTTGATGAGGAAACTCACCTAAGACTGGTATGTTATTAGTTCATTATGTGCTGTCCTTACTTATTACTACTGTTTGTACTGTAAACTTTTGCCTTTGACTATTATATATAATAAGTACATTCCTTGTGGTAAACAATGCTCAAACTGGTTGTTATTAGTACATTCTGTGCCATAAACATTCCCCTAGACTAGTATATTATTAGTACATTCTGTGCTGTAAATACTCCCCTAGACTAGTATATTATTAGTACATTCTGTGCTGTAAATACTCCCCTAGACTAGTATATTATTAGTACATTCTGTGCTGTAAATACTCCCCTAGACTAGTATATTATTAGTACATTCTGTGCTGTAAATACTCCCTAGACTAGTATATTATTAGTACATTCTGTGCTGTAAATACTCCCCTAGACTAGTATATTATTAGTACATTCTGTGCTGTAAATACTCCCCTAGACTAGTATATTATTAGTACATTCTGTGCTGTAAATACTCCCCTAGACTAGTATATTAATTGTACATTCTGTGCTGTAAATACTCCCCTAGACTAGTATATTATTAGTACATTCTGTGCTGTAAATACTCCCCTAGACTAGTATATTAATTAGTACATTCTGTGCTGTAAATACTCCCCTAGACTAGTATATTAATTAGTACATTCTGTGCTGTAAATACTCACCTAGACTAGTATATTATTTGTACATTCTGTGCTGTAAATACTCCCCTAGACTAGTATATTAATTGTACATTCTGTGCTGTAAATACTCCCCTAGACTAGTATATTAATTGTACATTCTGTGCTGTAAATACTCCCCTAGACTAGTATATTATTAGTACATTCTGTGCTGTAAACACTCCCACTAGATTGGTATGTTATAACTACATCCTCTGCTGTAAACACTCCCACTAGACGGGTATGTTATAAGCACATTCTTTGCTGTAAACACTCCCACTAGACTGGTTGTTATTAGTACATTCTGTGCTGTAAACACTCCCACTAGACTGGTATGTTATAACTACATTCTGTGCTGTAAACACTCCCACTAGACGGGTACATGTATGTTATAAGCACATTCTTTGCTGTAAACACTCCCACTAGACTGGTTGTTATTAGTACATTCTGTGCTGTAAACACTTCCACTAGACTGGTCACCAGTATACAGTAAGTGTGAAGTACTGAATATACATAGCTGTTAGTGTAGCCTGGGATTCAGGCGTTGATATTATTTACTTATTCATAACATACGCGCTATTTCATACTCGATCGTGTTTTGATAATATCAATGCCTGGGGAAACCTGTGGGGTTGCCCATGTAATTATCAACTAATGATTATCCTATTAATTGACCAAATAGCACTTGACCAACAAATCACATGACTTAATCGAAATCGAGGCGAAGATGCTGAATGATGAAAATTTGACGCCATTTACCATTATAGATTGTGTCCAGCACATTTCTTGGATGTTCTCAGACTTCATTCACACGGAAGTTGTCTTTAACTAATCAAACATATTGATCAAATTCACTCATCATGCAATAAACTATGTCAACGAGTGTCAAAATTGTGTTTTGAAAGCGAGGCTCTGTGAATGTTCGTTGAGTTTTGGGTCACTTTGTGGAAATTCAGTTTCTAATTTTAGAAACTAGTTTGTAGTTACATGAGTTATAGTTTTTTAAATTACACCCATAATTTTCGGGTAAATACTAGGTGGCGCTTCGATCGAAATTGTATTTCCCCAGGCTGTCAATTTGCCAAACAGAAGCACATAAAAAAATCAACAGACTGGAACCCAGGCTACTGTTAGTGATACATCAATATGAAAATTGCACACAAAAATTATCTTTGAAAAGGCTAAAGGAGTGATCTCTCTTTATCAGCTGGAAAATGAAAAAGAAAGAACATGTGGAAAAAAAATGGCTGAAATTAGATTCGCTAAAATTAGGTTACTGCCAAAAATAACCTGATATACGGTATAAGTTACAAGTATTACTAGTATTAATTAAATATTATCATATTTTATCTTATGAAATGGTTGAAGGTTGTAACAATGTTAAATTTTACAATAGGACATTGAGAAAGAGCTGGAGTTACAGATAGGTATGAAACAAGAGATTGAGATGGCCCTACAACTACTAGAGAAAGACATTCATGAGAAACAGGATAGTATAATAGGACTTCGGAAACAACTTGAAGATGTTAAAAATATCAATCTACAGATGTATGACAAATTAGAGGTAACATTTTATTACACAATCTTTTATGTCAAATCTAGAGTTAATAGATGTATTTTTTGTTGCTTATGTAACCATATTTTTGTCTCTTTGTTATTAACCTTTTCCCTCATATAAGCGTGTTTCGACGGCTTTTTGCCCCCCCCCCCCCTTCTTGAGGCCTCAAACAGTGAAAAAATGCCCTATTTAGGCCCCAAACACTGGTTTTCGTTTAAGAAATGTTGTTAAAAAAAGTGACCACTTTTTCAGCGCCGTCCCCCATCCAATCGCCAAGAAAATTTTGGACATGTGACAGGCTAAATATGGCCTCAAGTCAATCTTAGGGTAACTGGTAACCGATGCTGAAAAGCCTTTTACTCTATCTCAATCCATTGAGAAGTTGCAGCACTTTGAAATCAGTTTTGATGGAAAAAAAACAATGCAAAATAGTGATTTTTGGCAATTTTGAGACGTCCCCCCGTTGCCATGGTAACAGGAAATTTACGATTGAGCATGCTGTTACAGAGGCTATGGTGTAGTCAACATTTGTGCCAAGTTTCATCAGTATTGAAGCATTTTTCATAGTTTCATAGCAGTTTGAACTTGTTACAGGAGGCTTTTCAATGAAAACGGCCATTTTTCGCAATATGCTCATGGGGTAAAAGGTTAAGAGGAAGTGTAGGGTAACAGTTAGGTATCTTTGACCAATTTTCAAAGTTCATATATATTGAGGGTTTGACACAAAAAATAAATATATAAGGAGTTTTTATGCCCCCGGGCATAAAGTAATTGAACCGTCCATTTGTATGATGTTAACCTAAAACTGCAAGTTGGATTTTTTTACCTGACCAATGGCTATATAATTTACACACCCAGCAATACAAAATATATGACTATGGCTTCCATTTTTGTGTCACCTCTTCAGAGTAGTGGCGACATATAGGGATCACTTCTCTGCCGTCTGTCTCTCCGTCCGTCACATAATTTGTCTGGACTACTCTTCAAAAACTACTGGTGCAATTTCATCCAAACTTTACAGGAATGATCAGTACCAAGTATAGTTATCTAGAGTTAATATATGTCTTGCCTGCATTTGCTGGTTCAATGATTTTGTGAGACTTATGGCAACTGACTTATGGCCCTTTAGTGATTTTTATTTTTAATGTTTGTCTGGACTCCTCCTCTTGTACCACTAATACAATTTCATTGAAGCTTTATGGGATTGAACTGTAGTTCAAGTGCTTGCACATATTACACGGTTTTTCTTCTTGAATGATTTTTGCCCAAGTTATGGCCCTTGAATAAAAAACATGTTATGCCCTGTTAATGATTTTTGTGTCTCCTACACAGAAGCTGCAACATGCAATGGCTATCATTATGCTACATATGTGATCACTGATCACCCTTGTTACCAAGTTATTGCCCTTTTCAGCCCTTGAATAAAAAAGGTGTTTTTCTGTGTGTTGCCAGCTACACAGAATCTTGTCAAGACTATTTCTGTGCAATTTCATCCAAACTTAGAAAGAATGATCAGTACCAAGTCTAGTTGTGTACATTTGCAGCTTTTTTGGTTCCATGATTTTTGTCGCAGTAATGGCCCTTTAATTATTTTTATTTTTAAAGTTTGTCCAGACTAATCCTCTTATACCACTAATGTAATTTTAATGAAACTTTACAGGATTGATTGGTAGCTCAAGTACTTGCACATATTATAATAGTAACATGGGTTTTCTGCTTGAATGATTTATGGCCAAGTTATTGCTGTTGTCAATAAAGTTTGTCTGGACTACTCCTCCAATATCATGAATGCAATTTCAATGAAACCTACAGGATTGATCTGTAGCTCAAGTACTTGTGCATATTACACAGGTTTTCTTGTTGAATGATTTTTATGCCAGCGCAGCATCTGTTTGTATGTTTGTTATATAGATTATATAGTGAACTTAAAAAATCTTCTTGTTAAAAACCACTTGGTAGGTACTCTACCAAAGTTGTTCAAATTTTTTGCCTCTAGTGTCAAAATTAGCCCCGCCCTTGGGGGTCATCAGTTTTCCTTATACATGTATGTATATAGTAAAAACTTTAAAAAATCATCTTCTGGAAATTGACAAAGGCTAGAGGTTAGATATTTTGTATGAAACATTGTGTAGTGAACCTCTACCAAGATTGTTCAAATTATAGCCCTGGGTCAAAATTGGCCCCGCCCCGGTGGTCATAAATTGTCAATATGTACATACAGTAAAAAATTAAAAAACCTCTTGTCTGAAGGTACAAGGCTTAGAGCTTTGATGTTTGCTATGTTTGCTATATAATATCATTTATAGGTCCTCTACCAAAGTTGCCCCTGGTGTCAAATTATTGAAATTTTCATTTTTTGCTGTAACTGGCCATTACTTTGTTATTATTGAATGGATTGACTTCATTTTATAATAGAATATTCTTTAGGGTAAAGACTTCATGTGTATCTAACTCAAATTTACATTTGCTCTCTTATGACATTGACCATGATGGTTAAATTAACCTTTCCCTCATGAGCATATTGTGAAAAATGGCCGTTTTCATTGAAAAGCCTCCTGTTACAAGTTCAAACTGCTAGGAAACTATGAAAAATGCTTCAATACTAATCAAACTTGGCACAAATGTTAACTGGACCATTGCCTTTGTTACAACATGCTCAGTCTTAAATTTCATGTTACCATGGCATCGAGGGGATATCTGAAAATTGCCAAAAATCACTATTTTGTGTTGATTTTTTCCATCAAAATTGATTTCAAAGTGCTGCAACTTCATAATGGATTGAGATAGAGTCAAGGCTTCTCAGCGTTGGTTACTCATTACCTTATGATCGACATGGGGTCATTTTTAGCCTCTCACAAGTAAAAAAAATTTTTGGCGATGTGGCGGACTACCACCCCCCCCCCCTTCAAACCCCCAAAACAGAAGGGGGCACATCCCCCATCTTGTAACCCCCTAATGTACCTTTTTGATTGGGGACGGCGCCGAAAAAGTGATCACTTTTTTAGCAACATTTCCCAAATAGGATCATTTTTCACTGTTTGAGGCCTCAAAAAAGGGGGGGGGGACGAAAAGCCTCATCATCTCATTGTGAAAGACGTCCGTCTTTACGTCTGTCCGTCATACTTTCGTGTCTGTTCCATAACTTTGTCATTTATCAAAGGAATTTGAAATAACTTGGCACAATTGTTTGTAATGCTCCCCGAAAAATTTCTGGGGAGCATATAGTCGCCGGATTGTCCGTCAGTCCATCCGTATGTACGTCCTGAATTTGTGTACGGCCCATAATTTTGTTCTTTGAAGTCGGATTTTACAACTATTTCACAGAAATGATCACCATATGGAGACGACGTGTCGAGCGCAACGTTCTGGTCGCTACCTGGAAGGTCAAGGTCACAGCATGACCTTGCAACAAAATAGTCTGATTATACAACTATTTCACAGAAATGATCACCATATTGAGACGATGTGTCATGCGCAACATTTGGGTGGCTACCTTGAAGGTGAAGGTCACAGCATGATCTTGCAGCAAAATCGTGTCCGGCCCATAACTTGGTTATTTGAAGTCAGATTTTTCAACTATTTCACAGAAATGATCACAATATTGAGATGACATGTGGCACGCAACATTTGGGTCGCGACCTTAAAGGTCAAGGTCACAGCATGACCTTGTAGCAAAATAGTGTCCGGCCCATAGCTTCGTTATTTGAAGTCGGATTTTACAACTATTTCACATAAATGATCACCATATTGAGATGACATGTCGCGCGCAACATTTGGGTCGCTACCTTGAAGGTAAAGGTCACAGTATGACCTTGCAGCAAAATTATGTCTGGCCCATAACTTCATTATTTGAAGTAAGATTTTACAACTATTTCTCAATTTCAACAATTTTCATGTACGGTCTGTATTTTTTTAACTGGGGGAAGAAATTTGAAACAACTTGGCAGGAATGTTAACCATAATGAGATGATGTGTAGAGTGCAGGTTTGACTTTTTTCAGGTCAAGGTTAAGGTCACACTAATAGTCATTTTGTATCAGAATCAAAATTTTTTGTCCACTCTATCTTTTGAACAATTAGTAGGAAATTAAATCTATTTGGCAGAAATATTTATATTACTGAGATGATGTGCAGAGCGCAGTTTTGGACTGCTTCGGGGCAAGGTCACACTGACTTATTTAAAATCCTTATATACATGTATGTGTCTATATAACAAAGGGATATTACATTGTATGAATTTATAAATATGTTTCCTCCCAATATATATTTGTGTATTTACCTCCCTTTATTTTACAAAATCTATTACTTTATAATGGTTTTTATGCCCCCGGGCATATAGTGATTGAACCGTCCGTCCGTCCGTACGAGGTTAACCTTGAACTGCAAGTTGGATTTTTCTTAAGTTCTACCTGTACCAATGGCTTCTAAGTTTACACACTTACTAATCAATACAAAGTACACGATCTGGGCAAGTTTCATAACTCTGGCTTTCATATTTACTTATTGCCCTTTTCAGCACTTAGAAAATGAATAATGGTTAACCTAAAACGGCAAGTTGGAAATATCTTAAGTTCTATCTATACTAATGGCTTTATAATTTCCACACTTACTTATCAATACAAAGCACATGATATATTGCCAAGTTATATAACTGTGTCATCCATATTTCCCAGTTATTTCCCTTTTTTCACTTTGAAAATAGGACCTTGTCTGGTTAACCTATTTCGGCAAGTTGGATTTATCTTAAATTTCTCCTAATTGCTTAATTTCTTCACTGATATCTTTCATATTTAGTAGGTGGATACCTTTGATGGTCCTCTAATTTTTTTAGAGTAAGCGGTCTCTAGGGTCAAGGTCAAGTCACTGGTTTAAAAAATAAATATAAACCTTTTTGCTCATACAGCCTTTATTTTTTAGTTAATGTCTTAGTTTAATACAAACACCTCCTTCTTTGGGTTTAGTATGGGGTCATTTGGGTCAAGGTCAATGTTACCAATGTCAAGGTCA